CCGGTGATGCACACAGAACTCAACATGTGGTACGAAACCTAAGGAGGATCACTGCTTTGATTTTTTCATGTACACTTCAGGATCAACATTTCTCACTGTTCAATACAGATAGTTGGGGTATGACTTTTTTGTCCTATGTGAAGTTCTTAGTGTTTTGGCTTGGCATGAAGATAACTGTGAGACCAGTTGAAATTTTTTCCAAAGTGTAGTTACAGCTCTTTTTCCACTGAACTATAATCCACTTTTGCTCTGTTTTAATTTCCATGCTGGCTGACCTGTCCCTATATTGGCCTCTCATCTGCCTAGGGTGGCTCAGGGGAACCTTCCTGCACCAAAAGCCACCCATTCCCAGGCAGGGGGTAAGAACAAAAATTGTTTTCTTCTCTCCTGGATGCTTTTCTCAGTTTTGCTATAGCTACTTTACAGGTAGTAACTGAGCTATTTATGAACATTATAGAAATTGATGCATACACTTGGAGGATGGCAGGCTCTATCTTAATGTAGACCTTTTTATGATGCAGAATACTGACTCTATGAACACATGAACCTCCAATTTATTTACACCTTTAGTTTATTTATAAAAAATTCCTTATGCATATACTTTACAGCAGTACTGCTTTTAGTTCACACGTATAAATTATCTACTAACTAGCATGCACCACAAGCTCTGTGGGATTTGTGTTAGTGGTGAGAAATATTACAAATTGCATCCCCTGAAGGTTTGGGTCCACAATGGGCTCGGTCCTGAGGTTTTACCATGATACTTCAAATAATATTCAGTAGTATTATTACAATAATATTCAGTAAAAAGGACAAAAAAGGGGAAAAGCTGTCAGTGTCTTGTGGGAGTTTCTCTTCAAATCTTTGCCTGTGGTGCATTTTGCTTGAACATTGCTGTAGTAAGTTTTATCTACATGTTTATCTAGCTGTCTACACCAGAGGATGTATTGACCAGGATATTACTCCCAGCCTACATCTAGCTTTGTCCTGGCTCTTAAATCTTCATTGTTACCTAATCCCTTGACAAGCTCTACAGTGTTCAGCTCCTGAGCACTGCAATACTACAGTACACAAGAGATTTGCATACAGCTAAATCACCCCATGGAAAATTCCCTTGGTACCCGTTTTCTACTTAAACTGGTGATTAAGTACCTCTATCTACTACAATTTGAAAAGCATCAGCATGTTCCTAAATGCATATTTTGGCTGATTGAAGAAGTAATTTAGTTTACATGGGAAATACCAAAAAAATACCAAAAGTCTTATTGCAGTGTTTTCCATGCTGTTTTGGTTTTTGCCCTTTTTCTAATTTTTTTTTTTTGTTTTGTTTTGGTTTTGTTTGTTTTTTTCCCCTCCAGAATAAAAGGGAGGTAAGTCATATATTTCAATGATAACAAGATTAATAAAAAAGGATAGATGGGAGAGGGGTACCCCTTCTTTTGGGAAAAATTAAAAAAATATCACACCAAAATTAGCGAATGAATGAAGCAAATATAAACATTTCTATTAAAAGCTTAACAATTTCTCTCTTTTTTTTTTTTCCCCCTGTTATCTGTTTCTGGTTTTCTTGTCAATAGCCTGTGCAATCGGTAGGAAATCTGTATCTTGTTAAAAATATCTTCAGAGAAAAATTTTCCAGCAGACCAAGAGTAGATATACACATATATACAGAGATATGGTATTAGAAATCCTAGAAAATGTTGATCTTTCTGAATGCTAAAATTAAGACTGCACATGTATTCTTAATTTAATTATCTTATGTATTTGCCTAACAGGACAGTCTTACACTGACTTTTACTCTTTGGTCTTTGTACCCATTCACTGGAGCAAAGCAGCAGTAACTGTGGTAGATCCAGACAGATGAACATTTTCTTTGCCTTGAGGGAAGCACAGGCACTGTTCAAAGCTGCTCCTATTCCATTTCCCTTTCTGCTTGATAGCATGGAAGTGTGGCTGCACAAATGGGCACCATCAGGGTTCTGCTTCTGCTGATGGCATTGGGCAGGTCAACCAGTGTGAGAATGGCTTTCTGAGGTGGAGATATTCATACCTGGCTCTGGACAGGACCATGGAAAAATATTTCCATCATATCACAATGCCCCCGATCAGTTTTTAAGGATGACACAAAATAAAACCACACTTTTTTTTTTCTTATTTTACTGGATAGCATTACACCTCAGATGCAGACTTTCCTGAAAACTCAGCCAACTGGTCCAAGGATAAAGACCACCTTAATGTGGTTAGCATGCTTTTACTACCTAAGGTAGTAGCAGGCATGGCTCTAGGATCGAAGTCTGTACTAAGTAATGATGTGATCAGAGGCTGTTTTCTGAGACCAAGTAGATGGCGTGGTCATGTCTACATGTACCATTTCTCTTCTCTCTACCTTGCCCCTACTGTCACCTGGAGACTGTCCTTGCTCCAACCTGTTCCTTGAACAGTGCCTGGTAGACTAGTGGGCATGTGCCTCAAAATGTGCTGAGGAGCATATCAGCAACTAAACAGTGTGGATGATCATAGGTCTGGTCCCAACCTGCTTTGTAGCAGAGAGGCAGCTGCTGTGAACCATGCGGAGTAATGGCTTACAGCTGGCTTGTTGCT